AGAGAGGGACAGAGAGAGAGAGAAGACAGACAGACAGACAGATAGATTTAGATATGTTGATCATGTTTGCTGTAAATGTGTACTTACAGAATACAGAGCCACCATCCCTGCACAACCTCCCAAATATGGTAGGAGTCTTCCCGGCATTCCCGCGAGTTCCGTGCTGAGTGACGCGGCAGTCAGGTAGGTGACTGTGATGTTATCAGACGTGAAACTTTCTATGGCCTATGGAAAAATGAATGAATGACCTTTATTGTACGTTTATGCTCTAACAAGCTAAGTACAGGTCATGAATAGACAAGGGAAAGGATACAGCAATGACACTTAAACTATACATATTAATGTGATCTACTATTTACATTTTCAACTTCTTCTCGCTTTTTGATAGCCACTACCAGGCTTGAGGAGGCGGCTGGAAAGAGTAGAAATCGGCCAGTGGGGCGGCGAACTGTTCTCTCTTCTACTCTTTCCAGCCGCCTCCTCAAGCCTGGTAGAGGCTAGCTTTTTGACGCAGTTATAGATGTACGAGCATATAGAACTAATGATACATGGTTCATGGTACAAGTTCATAAGAAATATGATTTTTTCTGATTCAAAATGTAAAAAGACAATGTGCATAAGGGTTAATATCTGCAGGTATATACAACAACACTACCACAACACGGAAAAGTAAAGCTATTTTCATAGAAAAGACTCGTTAAAGTTCCCAGCAGTCTGAACCGCATTAGAGAACAGTAGTTTCTTTTGTGTTTAACTTATCCATATTACATTAATATGCAGCAATAATGCCTACCAGTTTTAATCATCATGGGAAATACTTTGATTTCATTAACATAATTTGGTTTAGTACAGCTATTAGATACCACTACATAGCCTCTACCAGGCTTGGGAAGGCGGCTGGAAAGCTAAAAGAGTAGAATTCGGCCAAATAGAGGGATAAGCATGCCAAGGGAGTTTGTCCGTTGAGAGAACATTTCGCCACACCCCAAACCATAGTACAGCTATTAGATACCACTACACACACGCACAAACATAGACAGAAACACATAAAAACAGGACTTCTATTCCTATCCTTAGTCATCCGCTCCCCATCCCCCTCCCCCTATACTTAATAGCCTGTTTGTTATTGTGGATATCAGGTGTCAAGGAAAATCCTACCTGTCGAAAGTTCTCAGTCCATTGGCCCCCTGGCGCCTTCAAGTGGTACGACAGCTGCAGTGCCTTAGCTTCTCGTACGGTGACTTCGTCGGACCGGAGCCACACTCCACCTAACTCATCTCCTATGTACTGTCCGGACGAATTGTTACTATCGTCAGCCCCGTTGTAAGGGTATCTCAGGTAATACAATATGGAACTGCCATTTGTAATCAATAGCCTCACCACATTGTTGCCGTAACACGTCCCGTCTGTGGACGAATTGCGGCAGAGCGTCGTAAAATTCTCTCCCTTGTTGTTACTCACGTTTGACGCCATGTCGTGTAGACGTAAGACTTCTTGTAGGACGTTTTCGCGTAGCACGTTCCCACCGTCGCTCGCTTGTACGATAACCCTCGCGGCCGCCTGGAGTGTAAGGTCTGAGGGTTCGAATCCCAGTGTTTGGAGCCTTGCCACATCCTGTTGAGTTTGGCCATTGCTTGGGGTAAACAAAGCGTCGAAGTTGTCCTCGACGGCGACCTGAATCAGTCCGAAATAACCCAGTAATACTGTGGCGATTATGGGGATGAAAATGCCAGTCTCTGGCCGCCTGGCTACCAGGACTCCCCAGTGTTTGAAGCCCTTACGAACCCGCTTGTCTATCCACATACACACCATGGTACGGCAGTGTCTCGTCTTTCTCTGTTAAAGAATTGCCTTCGTCCTTCCTAGAAAGTCCTTCGTCTTCTGTGCCCAACAGCAAATTTGTCAAGAGTTGTGACACCTTGCAAACCCTGTGAGAGAAAAAAATGTATCAAAGACTGACCGCGTATTTGAACACGTTTTGTTACCCTTTCTATATACTCAACTCGGTCGACATGTCATGGTTCGCTGTCACCTCTTGACGTCTCAATCATTCACGCAAGCAAGCAGGCCTTAGGTTCCAACGGTACTGACTCTTTCGTCCGTTTGAATCAGAAGTCCCCTGCGTTCTTCGTACCTCGACAGGAAACTGGACCTATTAAGGTCTCTTTGCAAACTGTAGAGCAACAAACGAAACACTGTCGAGAAGTATAAATACCTCTAATCACATCACGGAGTCCAATCTAGGGCCAACTCTCTTTCCCAGGCTCCAGAATTCGCGTCGGCATCGTAAGGAAGAACAGACGAAGTCTTAAAGACATGTTCCTTCCTTGTAGTGTTCCTACTACCCCCCAAGGTCTATCTACCAAACGGTTTAGGAACACCATCCGATGGCTCCAACGAGTACAATAATCTAGGGGTAATGGTACGCTCCCCGCGTAAACAATGGTGCCAAGGGTCTGAATAGAGAATTTGATTATCCGAGCGTAACCAAAGAAGGCTGAAACCCTCGGGCCGTCATTCACGGGGCCCTCTCGGTCGACTCAAGTGTTCGTGGCAGCTTTTGTAGCTCTGTGTGGACAATCCAAACGGTTGTCATAGAAACTACGCTTGTCAAAAACAACAAGTTGAACGGTTGGGGGATATACAGAAGTGAACGACCTCTTGATTGAGAGTCGTGTTGACTGTAAATAATTCTTTTATGGAAAGTGTTGGCCGTTTGTTTGTACAACAAATACAGTAAACATGCGGGCGTCGTGCACAACCTCCTACAACGTGCGCCTGTGTTGCTATTGAATGCGAATCGCTATCGAGTAGAATCCCCTTAGACATAATGTGTAAAGGTAGAACCAAAAAAGGGATATTCAATTGTCTCATAACTACCAGTAATGGCGACACAAGTGTAAAATCATGTGAATTTGTCTTCAGCTGCGTTATAAAAAGAGAAGAAATCTTGAAGACTTATATAGTATTATAGTACAATCAATATAGAGCTCTGGGGTATTCTTTTACTATGTTACTCAGTATATACTAGTAATATACATTTAACATCATACATTTAGCCCCATGGGCATGAACATACAAATAGATTCTTTATTCAGAGACAGTTGTAGTGTGTCGACGAGTCACAACGTTGCGTAGTCTTGATTTCAATTGGATTTCAATTCAATTTTGCAATTTCTCAGCAGGGTAGTTCTCTTAAAGTTGCAGAATCATACCTCCTGTACCTGATATTGATGTTACGTTTAGGTACGCATAATCACTGACTACAGAATTAACATCCTGAGTGTTAGGCGAATTACGCCTATTAAGCGCACTTAACTCTCGGGAGCCAACGCGAGATCTCGAAACGTCACAGTGACACAAGGTGAATCCTTAGTGCCTACAGAGGAGTCATGTCAACATTCTGGCTGTTACGTAACTGTCGCTTCTTTAATAAGCGTACCAAAGTCTCGCGAACCAACGCGAGAGCGAATACTATACAGTGACATAAGGGGACTGCGACTAGCACCCCTAGTACAGCTACAATAGCAGCTAAATCAGGCCTACCCCCATAATCAAGGTAGGGGTAGATAAAGGGATAGTCATACAGACCCGTACCGCCTGCGGCCCAATAGATAACACTAAAGATTATGTAAACAAGCCCAAAGGTCGAAGGGTATACAAAATGTAACAGTCGGCACGGCAGGCCGCTGAGCATGACGTCAATCACTATGGTAACGGAATTGACGCTGTGCGTCAGGATGCTACCGGCACTGTTGTCGCCCCTCAGTAATATCCAGTACAAAAGTGTGACGCAAATGCCACTACAGAAGGCAACGTTGTACAAGATCCAGTAGAGCTTGTAGTACCATGGTAGTGTTGTTGTGGTTTGGTCGGCGCGATTTTGGGCAGTGGTGGTGAGTTGAGCGGTAGAACCCGTTGCTATGGCAACGTCAGACGACAGGTGGTTGTCGTCTGACGCAGCTTCACCACGTTGGGAACGAGAGCTGTAGTACATGTAGTAGTCAGCGAAACAGAGTCCCGCGCTAACTACTATGTGGAGAGTGAGGACGATGTAGGCCCACTGAGTCAGGAATATTAGAAGTTTCAGGCCGCTGTTGGCGAGGGTTAGGTTCAGGGCGAGGAGGGCTGCCACCTGGTACAGACACACTACGGCTCGGTACAGCACGAATGGCAACTGGTTACTCAGCCACTGAAACAAAGAATGGAAGAGTGCATGAGAATGTTTACTTGATCATTTCACCCCAAGGGATTCAAGTCATTGGTTATGTCCCTCTGTATTTGTGTCTCGGTTTCCGTATTAACAAAAGCAGATTCATGCACCATTAAGTCAACGGATAGAGCTAGCCCTTAGTCAGGTTTGGTTAGGCATTACATGGTCTAGACTATCGACATTTTCTGGTTCCCTGTGGTCACTGGGCCTCCTTGTATCTATAGTCTACCTGCCCTGCTTGTTTAGGTAATGCATTAGGTCATTTCCCTGGCCCTCCACCTACATACTACATGATTTTCAAACTTTCTCTGACAATCTGACAACAACAGCAAGCTTACCGGCGTCCTTGTAAACACATGGGGATCGTGGTGTGTCAGCCCAAACGACTTCAGGCGAAATTCGCTCCTCATTCTCTGTCTGCAAGTCATCTTGGGTGCCTGTAGGGGGTTCAGCTACGTCATGTGAAGGTTTCGTGTTGTTACAGTAGTAGTTTGCGTTGCGGCGATGTCATGTGACATGCGGTTCTAGAGGTGACGGTATGTGACCCACTTAGAAGCAGTCGTAGCCTGCGGTGTTACACAACCTGTACAATGGGGGGTTATTGGCCCCTATGTTTCCAGAACCTTGTCTATCTATCTAGTTCTGTGCTTGAATAATGGGTTAAGGGTAAGATCAGCCACGGTTCTGGATAGTTTCAAAGAACGTACAATATTTGCCCCAAGCACGGTTCTGGATACGCGTGGACTGTCCATAACAGTGTGTCAGAGCATGGTTCTGGATAAAGCACGATTCTGGAGACCAGTCCCTCCCTTCTATCAGGGCTAACCAGTCGGGTGGACCGCTATGCGTGCGATTTAGTCATTCGGAAAGACAGAAATGTAATATCGAAGCTGCATCTTAAATCAGTGACTGAGGATAGGTCTGGAAAGAAGTGTATCCTGTATGGAAATAAGTATATTACTGATTCAGAAGAAATTTAGCCTCCGTAGCAGGCTTATAGAACTGGGGGTTTGGTCGTCTTCGGCTGTTTTCTGATTAGCCATTTCTAAAAACGGGGGTAATTCAACCAGGCCGGCTATGTTGTCTATGTACAATCAGAAAATAGCACATAAAAGCTTCCAAAGACCATGAAGATCCCCCAAACCCCCAGTTTTTGGCATGCTATGGAGGCTAGTTCTCCGACAATCTCAACGACCATCCCAGACCACCAGACTACGGAATAAACAAACCGCTACAAAACGTCTCAATCCAGGGTTCTCCAAACTAAGACCCCATAATCCTTTTACTTGTGGACTGCGGCTCGAGCATTTTATAGGGAAGATCATAAATCAAGCATGCTATGGAGTCTAGAAGAAATTAAAGTAGCACCTAATAGACGGTTCTATCCGTCAACGGTAACAGGTAAACAAAGGGCAGGCACCTGTTGCATAACTGACCTCTCGGTAACCCCTCGTCAAGCTGTTTACTGACAAACACAGGGTTCGATTCGGGGTCAGATAAGGCAGGTAAAACCCTTGTCACATCAAGGTTCCCTATAACTAGTCTACACCAGACTCCTTTGCAGGCTTGATAAATAGTAGAAATCAGCATAAAAAGGAATGTAACTGGCCAAGGGAGTTGGTTGGCCATAGAGGGTCTAGTTTGCCTGCATATGCCTCTATGGCCGGCTAACTCCCTTGGTCAGTTACATTCTTTTTAGGCCGATTTCTACTATTTATTCAGCCTGCAAAGGTGTCTGGCGGACACTACACTATAACGTCACACGGCTGACTCGATGTGGCTTCCCGCCCACTCCCAACCTCGACCTAACTGTATGACACGTACAAGCACACACAGGCACACATTCAATCACAAGGAAGACAAAACAACAACAACGACAAGCTAGAACAATGCGTCGATGAATGTTAGACATCAAGTAGATGAGATACACAAGAAAACTGTTACTCAAGCAACTGATTTTTGAAAACTGTCAGACATTTCAAGTAGCACCCACAACTTTTCGTCAGTCAGGGTGACAGTTTTTTTTATTAACGATAACAATTGTTTCTGCAATTTCACGCAACCTTCTTGTCTGTTTTGCTTGCATTTTCTGGCCTGGCTCCAAACCACTAGCTTCGCAGCAATCTGAGGTGATATGTACATGCATATTGATGTCTTTAGTGCATGTTTCTGGTATCAAATGTCGACCTCCCGGCCTCAAGCCGGTACGTCCACGCAGATCTATGAATTTATGAATGACTTGTTGATTTGTCTGAATAGTAGATTCCTGTCTGACAGTGGAATCATCAGCCAGTCACGATGTTCGCTGAAGCGGGACGGTTTAGCCACGGTACAGCCATGAAAACAGGTAAGAACAAATTTTACCTTTGAATAGCAAAGTTCTTTGATCAAAACCATTTAGTTTTTACTAGCCGACTTTTCGATGACCATCTGTCATCTTCATCAGGTCCATTCTGACGTACTGGTTTACAGTGCACTGGCGCTAGATGTTACTTGGTGCATAGTGCACTAAAGGTGTTACATGGTTCACCAACCTGATGAAATGTTACCTTTGTTTTGAGTTTAAATGTCTTTAAGCAGATACTGTTTTGAAATAAGGCACTAATAGATCGCTTAAAACATATATGAATGTAATGTAAACAAAAATTCTGATAATTTACTGTAAAGTTACTTGTCCACTCGGATGTTTTCTGTCACAACTCTTGCTTGCAGCATTACACCAACTCAGTTTATAGGTAGGATACAGCCTTTTAGGTAGTTTTTGTGCGCTTTTGAATTATTTTACGTGCTATTCTTGTATGGATTTGGGCCACGAGCCTGGGGCAAACAAACTACGTAAGAGGGTCGATGGCCTGTGAATTGTGCTACGCGCATACGTGTAGAAGTTACGAAAGTGACAGAACAATACAAAAAGGTATAGAATGGTACATGTCATGGGCATATTTCTTGTTACTATGCCAGTTATGGTGATAAAGATGAATTTAAAAATCTCACCTGCAGGAGGAATAAGATCGTGTAAACCAATCGAAATGCCTTGGCTACATTCGTCTAACTATTTCATGTCGAATGATTTTTTTGGGAGGTAAAGGTAAAACTAGCCACCATGACCTATAACCAGATTTTCAGTTGCTAAAGAATTAAATTTTACACAATAGATCCAAGGTTGCCCTAAAGAGGCTCACATGTTTCTGTCGTAATGATGAATGTGATAAGACCTTAACCAAAGTTCACAAATCATAACGACGATTATAGTTCGTAGATTTTATTCCAGTAATGAAGACAACAGAATCTGCCTTTTCTTCGTCGGTCAATGTAGGTCCGAGAAACAAAAACGAAAAACGACTACAACTAGTACATGTATGAAGGCTACCACTTCTAAAAGTTTTAAGACTAGCTAATATATCTATTGCTTATTGAATTTCTATTTGGTTATCATTTTAAAGACGGCTCATAGTTGTCCTTTTTGAACATTCACGAAAACTTAGCCGTGAAGAGAGAGATAATAGGATTAAAAGTGTCCAAGACGACCACTTTGGGGACCGGCAAAATTTGTTTACAGGTGGTCACTACAGACGTGGTTGTGTCAACGATCCCACTAAAAATTGGTCCTATTTGCCAGATAATCTTTATGCAGAGGTGATCACTAGTGCAGCATTTTTGGAACATGTAACACGTTATCCACCCTAAAACGGAATAGTGCATTTTTTATGAAAAACATATCACTTCACTTTAGTCACGTAGCTCTTCAGCCATAGGGTCTGGTATATACATAGACATATACATATACATACTCGTGAATACGAGGAAATGGCTATACTGGTCACTCATTTCCCTCCAACATAATGAATAAGTACAAACTGTCCACAGGAGAACTGAACGCGGCACGGGTGACTTGGCATGACGTGGTCGACGGAACTGCCGGCATGATCAGCAACCCGATGTACGCCCGGAGGGCTGGTAGGTTTCATTTTTCCTTGACCCTTTTTTGGAATCTTGAAACGGAGGTATTGTCTTGTCTGCGTTTCTCTCTGTATGTGTATGTATATATGTGTGTCTGTGTGTGTGTGTGTCACAGTGTGTGTTTGTGTGTGTGTGCGTGTGTGTGTGTGTGTGTGTATGTGTGTGTGTGTGTGTGTGTGTATGTATGTACACGTGTGTTTGTGTGTGTGTGTGTGTGTGTCTGTGTCTGTGTACTTGCACAGCTGTGTATAGTGTATGTGTGTGCACGCAACATATACATTTAGCGTACCATTAAGTGTCACCATTCAAAACGTCACACATCAAGTTCAGTTTGCCCTGACGAAGGCCACAGAGAGCAAAATCTTTGAAATTCGACACTGAAATATTTGTGGTTGTGAAACAAAAGAGAACACAAGCCAGCAAAATCGAGACCTTTAGGCCGCCCCCACTCGTCAGTTGTTGTCTCGGAGCGAGGACTTACGAAAAGGGAAAAATAGCAAGATGATAAATATTCACATTCACAAACAGATTGTCTGAGCAAGGTCCTTTGATCTCAGGCAGCCTCGCAGATCCACATAAGCTAGTAGCGTCACAATGTGATGAAACTGCCTTATCGCTCTCGAAGGACAACAGATATTAAATCGCGAGCGTCGAGAGAGAATTTGTTGCCTGAAAATAACAATCATATTACATTTGACGGGACTCGGTGACCTAGGACGATCGGTCGACCTTTAAAAATCGCGCGTGACATGATTGTTTGTCTGTTTGTTTGTTTATCTAAGGAATCTCCAATTAGTGAGATATATAACACACCACTACTCTTCCTTGAGTCATCTTACACATATAAAATACAACATTATATCATAACCTACTATTTACCTCCACTTTTAACTACTTTCAAAGAAAACTTGTCTTATCAAATTTTCACATATGATAATAATAATACAATAAGCGTCATTGTGTTATATCAATCATTAACCACATTGAACAATATCACATGCAAAAAGTTAGGCTGAATTTTGATTTTGTTTAGTAAAATACACCTAAAATGATGATGCAACTTGGTTCCATTTTTCAGTTCAATGGCAATGCTTAACAATGGGCCAAAAAATGATCTGGGAAGTATGTTTGAGGATTCAATTTTCTGACTTCCCGATGTCATAGGAGACTGCAATTTTCAGGACCTACTAACACTACCACATTCTACAAGAAAATTGATAATAAAATAGGTATCACAAACAAAGACTTTAGCCTTCCAAAAATGGTAGATGTAACCAATTTTGCCTTTGGTCCTCCCTAACATATCATATGCAGAAATGTGTTCTATGCCTGAATGGGATAGGGTTAGGCTAGGACGAGGCACGTTAGTCTCTGTGTATCCTATGGCAAAAAATTGCCCCAGGCTTGGTTCTGGATATGCGTGGAGTGTCCAGAACACCCGGCGTATGATTGTTTTCGAAAGTGTCCTTGAGTGTTCCCAGACTATTCGGGTGGGCTACTAATATCTACAATTTGGTGTAAGCAAAATGTCAGACAGTTATGCGGCTGCTGCTGATTATATTACATCAAACCATTAATATGTAACCGTTGTTTACAAGGATCTTGAAAAGGTAGAGGCCGCGAAAAACAAGGAATTACAAACTCTTTTAAACACACAATCTTTTCTTGAAAGTTCATCTGTGTTCTTAGAAATTATTATGAAGCACGTTTAAACTGTAATTTCCAACACAACAAATTGGACTCACCCAAATTTTCGACTGTACACTTAATCTTTAGTTATGTTCATGTACCTAAGTACATACCAACAATGTTACATGTATATAAAATACTGAGTAACATTGTATAGGACTGATCCGCACTGTCGATATTCACCTACGCGTACTTAAAGTATTGTTTTGGGTAGCTGACCTGTGTTTTTTGTATGTTTGTCTGGACAGATTATGTAGGTTTACAGCACGTGTGGGTGCATGGAAGGATGCTTGGCAGGCAGAATCACTGGATGTCAAAAGTCTCAGAATCTTACGGGTAGCCAACAGGGATTAGAGGGGGGCATTCAATTCAGGAAACCGAGGATTACATGGGGAAATATCCGATTGTCTTATGAAAGCCTGGTTAACCTTCTCCCTAAGAAGGGCGGCGAAACAAAAATACTCTGGATGGGGAAATATTTTTTTATTCCAACATGTAATGACCAGACGTGGTGACGGCACAAACAAGTTTTATTAACTTATATTAATGCCGCCACCAACACAGGGGACAAATACATCACAGGACAATACTCATTTTCACCTGAGCGAAGTGAGGAAAGTCGTGTTCAGTGCCTTTCTCAATGCAAGGGCACAAGATCGGTGGCATGTCAGGACTCGAACCCGGGACCTCTAGGTTCCGAGTCGCGCACTCTGCCGCTACGCCACACGACCCCACAAATCTGTCTGATGTTGACATTTACTGCCATTTCTTTGCACATTTTCGTCATCATTTCATACTAAAAGTGTTAGCCAAATAGCCTCAAAACAAACTACTAGTACGTGATGCGTCTCTTTATTTGTTTTTGGTCCATAAATAGCTAGAATCAGCCTACGATACAAAACAAGCAACCATTTTCATTCAGTGACATCGCATTTTTGCCTCACAAATATAGGTATGCAATGAGATAGGACTGATTTAAATCAGTGCCAAGTACTAACTTCTGAGCACTATCTTGTAGCGAGAATGATGATGACGACTACATTTATAAAAAAAATAAGAATTTTTTCCTGCCCTAAAAAAGTAAAATTGCAACTTGCAGTGTTACACTTTTCCAGATATCACCCCGAATCCCAGGAAAAAGCGCGGTCGCTGTTACAAGGTCCGGAAGTCCTCCTACGTGCTGTGGGCATGTCTGGGTACTGCTACTATGATGATCTGCATCACAGGCAAGTTTGCTCTCACGTGATTATGACATAGGTATCGTCCGCCATCTTGAATGGTTACATCTTGATGTTGCTAGCTACTATTGAGAAGCCAACTACTATCCCCTGATTTGTTTTTTTCCCTTGTTTTTTTTATCATGTTTTGTTTACATAGTTGCGATTTGATTTTACTTTTTGAGTTGATAATATATAGCAGTTTGATTTTCCTTTTATTTCTGTCGCTTTTGCAGCTGTGATGTTCGCGATGCTTCACCATCTGCAGGTTCGGGTAGAGGAGGCAGAAAACAGGATCGTTTCTCTCGAAAGTAGGTCTTCTTCTTCTTCTTGGGGGTTAAGGTAGCCAACAAGATGATTCTGCTACACTGTAGTATTTGGACTGTAGAATTTTGGACCATCGCACACCGGATCTTTAACGTTCTCGAGGTGTGGCTCTCCTCAAACACGGGACCTCCAGTTTACGTCCTGTCCGAGAGACGTCCCTTACCGAAGCTAGGTACTCATTTACACCTGAGTGAAGTGAGGAAATTCGTGTAAAGTTCCTCTCCCAAGGGCACAAGATCGGTGACATGGGTGGGGATCGAACCCTGGACCTCTAGGTCCCGAGCCGAACGCGCTACCGCTGCGCCACACAACCTCACAAGTAGGTAGCAGGCAGAAAGCAGTTTATAACATTCTCAAGTGACGATTGTGGTGTTTTAAGGTTTTAAGCAGATCCACGTTTGCGATGTGAGTTGTAGTTCAGTCACGAGTGGTGAAATCTTTGGACGGTTTAAATTATTAAAGTGAGAAAACCATTGTGACTCAAATATCAAAAGAGAGAGAGATAGAATTAGAAAGAGACAGACAGACAGGCAGAGACCAAGAGAGAGAGAGAGAAAGATTGAGGTATTTATGTGGTCCTATTTGCAGAAACCTTGCTTGGTGCTGCTCCAGTTTCCGATCCTCTGCGACAGATTCTTCCGGAAAAACTTGAAGGCGGGGCCACCGGTTAGTTTGCTCTTGCTAATTCGTTAGCTTTTGGCATCTGTTGCTCTCCCTAACCCAGGCATTTGCTCTTACTAATACAGACATCTGCTTTTGCTAGTTCAGGTGTTTGCTCTTACTAATCCATTAGCTTTCAGTGTAGATGCCTTAAAAAGATAAAGAGTAACTCCTGCCTGGCACCAAACAGTTTGGTTTGAGACAATTTTATTTGTTATTCTATCATGATTAGATATAACGTCGAGATGTCCTTGGTGCTGAATTTAATGTTACTACGTTCTCTGATGGCCAAAGCAATATTCAGAGGTGCATTCCTTTGGTATATTGCAGTCTTATAATAGTATTTGCTTTTGTTAAATTTCAGATATACTTCACCATCGTGGAAAGTCGGGACCGAGCGGTCCTCCTGGGCCTCTTGGGGAGCCGGGTGTTGATGGTCCGCCTGGCTCTCCCAGCCCTCTCTTTAACGTTACTACCGACGCCAACAACCTTCTACCAGAAGCCTCGTCAGATGCACAGGGTAAATATTATAATTTTGAACTATATCTGACTTCCACGCCAAGTCTTGCATGCTTCTCAGAGACCTCTCTCTCTCCAGATTTCTCTCTCTCGCGCGCGCGCTCTCTCTTTGTGCCTGTGTGTGCGTGTATGCCTGTGTGTGTGTGAGTGTGTCTGTGAGTGTGTGTGTGTGTGTGTGTGTGTGTGTGTGTGTGTGTGCGTATCTGTATGTGTGTGTCTGTGTGTGTGTGTGTCTGTGTCTGTGTGTGTGTGTGTGTGTGTGTGTTGTATCTAGAATCTGAACTAGCCAACAAGCATAGCTCAGCTCCACAAGCATACGGCCGCAGCTCGCTATTTCAGCTTTGGAATATTCGAGACTGTATCCGAAGCTTCGAATATTCCCAAGAAACCTGTAAAGGTACTATTGGCAAAAGTGACATTTTTGGTGTTATTTTTTTTATTTCATTGTCCAGTGTCCGAAGGTTCTGGGGACGAGCAGGACGAGGGACACTTGGACTCGGAGGGTCCGGATGACGCGGCAGACGACGTCATGTAGGGTGTGACGTCATCGCAACGTCATCGGCGCGTCCGCCGCCGCCATCTTGGTGTTCTATTTGCGTCTTGAGAAGCGAATCGTAGCGCAAGCGTTTTTAGACATTTAAAGTCAGAAGGAGATTCGCACAACTAAACCTTTATAAGTCACTTTACTAAAGAGAATCGTAGGAAACTAGTGATTCAAAAGCGCTTTTTTCGATTTTGCACTTGCCCGTAGACTGAAAGATATATTTATATAAAGGCTTACAATGGTCGACATAAAATGCACCAGGACTTTTCTAAATTAAGTATGTGAATTATACAGAAAACATAAATGATTCTATAATATATCACTTAATTATCTTACATGTAACTTAATTATAAAACTTGTAAATGCTAGATGACATTTAATCATGATTTAACTTATTATACCTACCAATCGAAAAAGATCTTACTAATTACAAATAACACATAATGTCAACTAGGTGACATATCATGTATATTAATAATAGATGTTGAACAACATACAAAGTGATTATTATGTAATATACTGATGTGCATACAACTAAAAGATATTATTAAAATGACATCTATTACTAAAAATTCCAACAACTTGGTAAGGGCGTCATCTTTAACCGTTGCAGACGATATCTTTTCCGACACAACATTAGAAAACTTTAGACCCGCTGGTCTGCCTGAGGTTCCAATGCAATGCCTTCGCCGTTCGGCAGGTGTCGCTTATTCACCAACCTCATTAGCATAGTATCGCGAGCAAACGCGAGACCGAACACGATTCCATGGCACAGAGGCGCCGCCAAAAGAACACTTCCCACGGCAGCTCCAACCGCTAGGCCTGGATTTCCTCCATAATCAAGTACCGGGTAAATCCAAGGCCGATTGCGAATATCTGTGCCGCCGGCAGCCCAATATATGGCCGTGAAAAGAATGTAAACCAGCGCAAAGCATGACGGGTAGATAAAATGGAGGAACCGGCACGGTAGACCACTGATTAGAATGTCTATCACTATGACAACGCAGTTGGTTCCATGGGTCAGGATACTGGAAGCGCTATACGCATCTCTAGCACCCCTTAGCAGTGTCCAGAATGCTGCGGTAACGTAGAGACCAACAGCGAATGCTACGTTGTATAAGATCCAGTAGCACTTGTAGTACCAGGGAAGGCGAACATCTGAAGATGTCGGGTGTTGCGGCGCGTTCGTTCCATATGAGCGATTGCTCGTCGTGGTAATTGCCATCGGCATGGCATCGGCAACCGTCGGCCGGTCTTCGGCAATTTCCGGGCCGCCTTCGGAACGACGTCGTCGCGACCCGAAGTAGTCGACCAAACAGAGTATTGCACTCAGTGTTGCGTGAGCTGTCAGGACTATGTAGGCCAAGTTCGTCATGTATAACAGATATTTCGGGCCGGTGGTGTAAAATGACAGCAAGGTGTAGAGGTACGCTGATATCTGGAACAGGCATATTACCACACGGTAGATGAGGAAGGGCAGTTGGTTGCTCAGCCACTGGAAAACAAAAGATAACAGAGTTTGCTACAAACCACACCACACGTATATAAAATAATGTCATTTTGTTGGCAAGAGTTTTGTGTTAGAAGTAATGGTTGTTATTTTTGACAATATCGCTAGAGGGCACTTTCGAGAATGTTACATGTTTTCCGTCCCTGACCCTTGACTCATAGTCGACTACGCTTTTTGAATGTTCAAAGGGGAAAACGAGTCTGTTTTATCGTTAGAAAATAAGAAGGGAAAGTGCAATGGACTGGCAGATCATTTCATTGCCATGTCAGGGCCTTGTTGCCATGTGGTAACGGTAGACAAAAGAATGATTTGGCTAAAGAGGCCGAATTACTTGCCAAAACCTGTCACAGTTTCCAACCTGCCTGAGGGGTAACGCCACCCGCACATAAAGAGGCCTTGTATCTTAAATGAATTAACGTTGCAGAAGTAATTTGTGGGTGCGGCTGTAGCCTTTTTGTGGGCAAACCTCTCTGGCGAAATATTTACCATTTCAGTTTCTGGTCTATTCCTGGCATTCCTATAGAAAATGGAAACTATGGTACGCACTTCCGTAGTGACATAGTGTTTAGTCTGGTGGAAACCGCAGTACGCACGTCCGTAGTGACAGCAGAATTGTATTTTTCTTTTCACATATCACGTTGAAATTAATTATCCCATAGGGTCTTTCTAGTTCAGTGTAATCCTAGTGCTACTAGCTTGAATGTCTTTAGTGAATAAAGATATTTACACCTTGTCTGCAGATCTGGGAACATGTGAAGGCTACAATGGTTGACTGGTACTCCTTCAACCCAACTTTGACACCAATTTGGACAGCATGGTTACACAACTCTCTTCACTCAATATTTCAGTCTTTTTCTCTTAGTTAAGTCACAAGGAAACTACTAAATGCACTTACCGGGGTCCTCGTAAAGTCTAGGGGATTGTTGTGACTCGGCAAAAACTGCTTAAGCCGAAATTCTCGCTTGATTCTTCCCACACAAGACATAATGTCTGCCACAAGGTCGACGGTTTTCTCGTCCTTCAAGTTTTCGGTTCACCGAGTCAGGTAAGGTCATGAACCTAACCCTTTGGCACGGTGCCAGGTACATGTAGTATGATGTAGCAAGATGCTCAGAACAGCTGGCACAGAATTTGTTTATTTGTTTATTTGTTTATTTACCATTTGCACATATATTAAAAAATACACAATCAAATAATAACAATCAAAGAATATGCGGGGTAAGCCAGAAACCTAGATGGTTTTTTAAAGGGCCTACCCCAAACAAAGGTAACTTATGACAAACAAAAAGAATGGCACGCCCATAACGTAGACAACAGGCAACTGATTTGTGTAATAGCAATTATTCCCACTCTTAAATTTTAATTGGCATAATTATAATTCGTGTAAAGTGCATTCATTTTCCGAAGGACATAAGATTGGTGGCATGGCAGAATTAAAAGTCGGGACCTCTTGGGTCGGAGTCGAACGCTCTGCCGTTGCGCAAAACGACCCCACTCTGACTTGTTGTACTGGTACACAGAATAGTCTAGACGGATCCCGAAGTCACGCCCCCCTTAGCAACGCCCTAGCAACTTGAACACCTCGGGCAAAATTCGCGCGGGATGGGCCACGTTGGCCACCGCCGCCAGAATGTCGGTTTTGCCGCCCAACGTTAGGGTCGAGTTTTCGGCAGCAAAAAAAAAAAACTCTCTTGGTAGCCCCCCAAAATAGTTTCGCTATCTTTGTTAAAATACACATCCACAGAGTAAAACTTATTTGAGGGGGGGCAGGGTTAGTTTAATGTGGGCAAAGTGTTTGCGCTCAATGCGGACGCGGGATGCGCCGCATAACATCACACGGTACGTAGGTGGACCAGAGTGCCCAGTTGCTGACAAACAGCCGATGCATGTGTTACGCAGAGCATGTTTATCTGTGACAGGTTTTCTACTGCATTTGCTGCAGGCATCGCCGCTACATACTGTGGCACATCGAGGAGGTGCCACAGGAAAACCGCCGTGCGCGTCGTCCCACGCCCGACACATATAAACGACGAACATGTAAATTTATAAACGGGGCCTTATAATAAAAGGGATGACAATTGTATACCCGGTTGAGACGCCAAAGCCCTCTAGAGAATTCGAAAGGACAGACAAAACCATTTAACAAACCCCATTAATCCAACACTTTGGCTACGCCTATGGCGCCTACAGACAACTGTTGTTGGCCAATCTAGGTATGTCTATAATTGCCCACCTGCATAAAAGAACTCTTCACAATACATGGGGCGTCAATAGGCTATTATGAAAGGGTTTCCCATTAATCGTTCTTGTCAGTTCAAAGGTCGTCAAATGTTGACAATGTAAGAACATCTGAGCTTTCATTTCTCTAGAAAGTCCTGAAATAGAAGAAATCTTAGTTTCTTAGAACTTCACACGTTTGATTATGTATATCTTTATGGTCAAATGGTTGCTTTCTCTTCTGAAGTTTAACATTTTCGGTGTTAAAGTAAGATAAGATAAGGTGTGATGATTGAGGCAGTAGATTACAGAGCGGCCATCAGAGTCCTGATAATTACCCCCCGACCCCTACGGCCGTTGCATCTTTACAATAAAAGGAATGATAATTGTATCACCTTTCCCATACGTTATTTATATTATAATAGGGAAACGCCTCTGGATATGCGAAACAAATCACATACCCCATTCATCAAAGTCTGTGGATCTGCAGCCCCTCTTTGGCCACGCCTACGGCGGTATAACACTCCCTGTTTTCAGAGGTTTTTGCGTTTTGATCATGATCCCTTTCATTTAAAGCTGATCCCACTTCCTTTGATATGAACGGACGTACCAAGAACTGGGTACTAGTCTTGACATATTAGATAAAGAGTGATTCGATTCAACCTCCCTTCAGAAGGGCTGAAAAAAAGAATGGCACGCCCACTACGCAGACAACAGGCAGTTGATTGGCGTAATAGCAATTATCCCCACAGTTAGATTTTAATCGGCATAGTTAATACATGTGAGCAGTTAAAAAGGCCGAGATCCCTGCGCACTTTTTCATTCCACCCGGCTGCAGATCAGAGAAGAAGTAAGAAAAGCTCTCCAGACGCCACCCTCGCCGTGACCTGACAAAGAAATCCAGTAAGTACATGTAGCCACACATATCTTTAACTGTCACATTTTTCGTTTGTTTCTTCGCTTAAACTCCTTTTTATACGCCAGTTAATGTGGGTTTCAAGAAGTTTAGCCATTGCAACAATTCGCCGTCAGTCTGGTGCCTTCATCTTTACCTAAACGCTTGGTCCATACAATCTTTGTTACAAAAGGTCAATATTTTTATCGTAAGTTTGAAGATAAAAGTTTCAATACGGCTGAATCACTGTCCATAGGTCATGTGTTAATTTGTTAGCTCAAATACTAGTAAACATTTTCGGCAGAAATAAGTCCTGCACTCTCTCGATCATCGCCACCGATCCACTTGGATATGGGAGATCTATTTGGTACCTTTCGACGATCCAAAAATACGACTGCCGCCCAACGTTAGGGCCGAGTTTTCGGCAGCAAAAAAAAATTCTCTTGGTAGCCCCCCAAAATAGTTTCTATCTTTGTAGAAATACACATCCACAGAGTAAAACGTATTTGAGGGGGGACAGGGTTAGTTTAATGTGGGCGTCGCCCCACGCCCGACACATATAAACGACGAACATGTAAATTTATAAACGGAGCCTTACAGTAAAAGGGATGACAATTGTATAAACAGTTATACGCTGTCTAAGGAGACGCCAAAACCCTCTAGAGAATTCGAAAGAACAGACAAAACTATTTAACAAACCCCATTAATCCAACTCTTTGGCTACGCCTACGGCGCCTGCAGACAACTGCTGTTGGCCAATCTAGATTTGCCCATAATTTCCCACCTGCATAAAGAATTCTTCACAATACATGGGGCGTCAACAGGCTATTATAAATGGTTTTCCATCAATCGTTCTTGTCAGTTCAAAGGTCGTCAAATGTTGACAATGTAAGAACATCTGAGCTTTCATTCCTCTAGAAAGTCCTGAAATAGAAGAAATCTTAGTTTACGTTTCTCCGATGTTACCTTCCGTCGTGTAAAATTTCTTACCGGCATGGTTGTCGTCGGGAAACGTTGACGGTTTGTAAGATTTTGGTTCTGTAAGAGGTTTCCCCTCACCCATTTCTTGTAGGAGGTGGACTTCACAAATGTTTGATTATGTATATCTTTATGGTAACATGGTTGTTTTCTGTTCAGAATTTTAACATTTTCGGTGTTAAAGTAAGATAAGATAAGGTGTGATGATTGAGGCAGTAGATTACAGAGCGGCCATCAGAGTCCTGATAATTACCCCCCGACCCCTACGGCCGTTGCATCTTTACAATAAAAGGAATGATAATTGTATCACCTTCCCATACGTTATCTATATTATAATAGGGAAACGCTTAAGGACATGCGAAACAAAACACATACCCCATTTATCAAAGTCTGTGAATCTGCAGCCCCTCTTTGGCCGCGCCTATAGGCCTTCTGCAGGGACAGAAAAAACGGACAGACGGAAAAACCCCACTGAAAAGATAACCTTCTTGGTGAAAGTGATAATTTAAAAAAATCTACCTAGTACTAGTGACCTCCCAAAACACGCTCGAGCCATCAGGATTCTTTAAAGAAGAGACTACAGTGTCGTGTACAAGCAAGCGTATGTTTACTACATGCATAACATCTGACCGTATCTGTTGAATTATTTTTCCTCAGAGTTCAACACACAATTGCAAGATGAAGCTGTCTGTGTGCCTCCTGTTCCTGGGCTGCCTGGTGCTCGCTGCCGCCGCCCTCCCCGCGAAACGACAGGAGATGCCACCGCCATACGACTTGCAGGGCCTGCTGACCGAGTTAGAGGACTTGGTGGACGGGCTAGAGGGTACGCTCACTGTCGTCTTCATCAGGATAATTAATGACCAATCACTTCACAACGTGATCTCGCGAGAGTTACGGTTTATAAACACGTGACCTTATTCACACGAGATTTTACTGATATGTGACGTAAGCATTTGATCAAAAGTACCAGGGATTTTATATCGTCCACCATCTCTATTAAGGGAAGGCTGAAGGGCTCTGATATATATGGCCTCCTTTATGCCTCTTAATTAATTATCCCGATGAAGACAGTGGTATCGAAAATTTGATCGCTCTGTAATCCTTGTGTTGGAATTAAGTTCAATGTTTTACTATGATTACTACCAACACAGATGAACTTTCATGATAATACCCGTACCCGTCAGTGTTTTTAACATCCCATTTTTCCCTGTCTTGTTGCGTGTGCAGTGGCAGATGTGGGGATGGAGACGCGGGGGCTTCGTCAATGCAAGAAGCGTTGCCCTGGACTTGACCAACGAGACAAAAGGCGTGATTGCCTGAGGAGGTGCGAGAGCAGATATGCCCAATTTGGCCCACCTGGCCCCGGGAAGCTGGACGAAGTAGAGGACCAGGTGGCTTAGGAAGAAGGTACCCTGACCTTATTATTTCTTTATTTATCATTTGTCCGTGTTTTTATATGGGCCTCTGGCCTGAAGCAAAGAATAAATAAATAAATAAATAAATGTGCCACCTATATCTAAGAAGTAACAGGGTGGCGTCGGGTGGCGTAGTGGTAGAGTGTTCGACAATGAAGCGGGGAGACCCAGGCTGGCTAAAGGGTATCGAAATAAAGAGAAGACTAAATAGAGCATGACCCGTCCTGGGTTGTTCTTAGTGTTTCTAACGTCTTCTGTTTCCTTCTCTTTTTCTTACAGAACTGCAGGAAGCTCAGGACCAGGCGGCTGAGGCAGAAGACTTTCAATTGTTTCATTAGTTATAAAGACATGGGTGATTAAGTTTTTTGATTCACAAATACAAAGGAATGTACCTGTCTACGTTTCAACAACCCATCTGTTAACTTGCTTAGGCCAATATTGATTGGGACAACTCTGGTCGTTTTTCAGCTGAAATTTACACCTTAAATGTTTTCTAATTGCAGTAGTAATACTAAACAAAAAGATGGAATGGTGATTGGGTTTTGATATTATTATTATCTTTATTATTATTTCTTTTCAATTCCTCAAATATCGCATAATCTTTGAACCACCGATTCATCGATTTTTCAACCTTATTTCTAATCATATCTTAGCAGGGAATTTTAGTGAGAATTATCATTTAATTACATTTTCCTCAATGTCCGGACATGTACGCGTACGCTAGGTAACGTTACATTAGAAAGCAATGGAACTGTGAGTGTTTGAATATGAAGGATAATAAAACTAGTGACTGGTTTAAGTTTTTGCTTCTGTGTTGTTATTTAAGCCCTTCTAAAGGGAGGTTGAATCGAATCACTCTTTATCTATGTCAAGACTAGTACCCAGTTCTTGGTACGTCCATTGATATCAAAGGAAGTGGGATCAGCTTTAAATGAAAGGGACCATGATCAAAACGGAAAAACTTCTGAAAACCGGGAGTGTTATACCGCCGTAGCGTGGCCAAAGAGGGTCTGCAGATCCACAGACTTTGATGAATGGGGTATGTGTTTTGTTTCGCATGTCCAGAGGCGTTTCCCTATTATAATATAGATAACGTATGGGAAGGTGATACAATTATCATTCCTTTTATTGTAAAGATGCAACGGCGGGGGGTAATTATCACGACTCTGATGGCCGCTCTGTAATCTACTGCCTAAATCATCACACCTTACCTTACTTTAACACCGAAAATATGTGTATTCAGAAGAGAAAGAAGAAACCATTTGACCATAAAAATATACATAATCAAACAAATGTGAAGTTCACCTCCTACAAGAAATGGGTGAGGGGAAACCTCTTACAGAACCAAAATCTTACAAACCGTCAAAGTTTCCCGACGACAACCATGCCGGTAAGGAATTCTACACGACGAAAGGTAACATCGGAGAAACGTAAACTAAGATTTCTTCTATTTCAGGACTTTCTAGAGAAATGAAAGCTCAGATGTTCTTACATTGTCAACATTTGACGACCTTTGAACTGACAAGAACGATTGATGGAAAACCATTTATAATAGCCTGTTGACGTCCAATGTATTGTTAAGAGTTCTTTTATGCAGGTGGGCAATTATGGACATATCTAGATTGGCCAACAGCAGTTGTCTGTAGGCGCCGTAGGCATAGCCAAAGATACTGTAATTACTGATTAGTACGCTCGGATCCGTAGAGTTGGATTAATGGGGTTTTTGTTGTTTGTCCTTTCTCTAGAGGGCTTTGGCGTCTCCTTAGACAGCGTATAACTGTTAATACAATTGTCATTGTATACAAGTCGTACAGAAAAAAAGACACGTCTCAGGCGTTGAAGACGTCTCGGTGCTGTTCCATTGGGACACCGCCGTCGCGGATGGAATTTCTGCTGCGCATGCGTCCTTGTACGACACCTGGCATCATCTCGCGAGCAAGCGCGAGACCGAAGAGGATGGCGTGACACAGCGGGATGGCTACCAAGACGCTGGCAGCGGCGATACCGGCGGCCATACCCGGATGATCTCCGTAATCGAGGTAACCCCTCAACCAAGGACGGCCGTAGACGCTTATACCGCCCGCCGCCCAGTAGATTACCTGTGTGAGAAACAACTTGCAATTAGAGAAGAAACTAGTAAGCTAGCTATTGTAAGCTTTAGAGTTAAATGAATTATAGTATACAGTAGCTGTTTGTTTTGTTTCTTCTTATACAATTCCCTATGTACTAGTAACTAGTATCATCCAATATGTTATGTCATCCAGTGCATTTAGCCCGGAAGGGCATGAATATGCAATAAACATCATTGTCATTGTCAATTAGAAAGCATGCCCGTAGCCAGGCGGGGGGGGGGGGGGTTCGG